CCTAATTGCACTACTACCTGCGTATTTGCTTTTCATTTCAAAACTCCTGTGGGAGCACCAGGGTGCCAGGTTCAAGTCTGCACTCCAGAGCAAAAGTTGCCCTAATCAGCACTTAGGCTCAGCCTGTAATGTAACAGAAAGGCAGAACTGCACAAGCATCCACTCTGCGAGCTCACAGTCTGTATTCTCACTAACACCTAAAACTGAGAATGTTGGCGGTGGATGGAAACTGGGCAGACTGGTGGCTTATCGATATGCAGAATCCACCAATGAGCTCCCATGAGCAAAACTGAAAAGAGTGAGGAGTATGCAGAGAAGTGAAGATATGCGAGAGACGCTCTGCCTTCCAGTGCGAATGGATACGTGGATCCCAAAGGCGCCCCCGGCAGAGACCCGGGCTTGGTTTCCACTCACTGGGTTCTGAAGCGGCACTGCCTGGTGGCCGCAATAAGAACAAAGATGCTGCCTATGGGCTGTGCCTTGTCTGTCTCGTCAGAGAACGAGCTGTCTGAATCACGCTTTTGCTTCCTTGCTAATATGGTTAATAAATATCTCTGTGTTTAGCAGGCCTTCGTCTGACTTGTTTGCAACACAATGTCGTAACAAAAATTTCAGGTGTTAACCCTGGTTCGTGGCAAACCTCATGTGAGTTAAGAACCAAGGGTGAAAAAAAAAATCTAAGCAAACAAGCAACAACACACTAAACCCCAACCAGCTTAGTCAGTTTTCAGTATCTCTCTTGAAGACAGAAGAAGGTACCTGCCAACCTATTCTATGACACAGAAGGACACCAGAAGTTGGGTCCGTCCCTGACACCCTCTTTTTTATCTGCTTCCTAGGCCAACAGCTCCTGCCTACCGGCCCAGATTTTGCCAATAACATATTTGAAGCTCATTCATGTTAGCTGTTGAGGAAAGATGCTTCTAGCAAGCTGCGGGGAGGAGCGGGCAGGAAAGGCAAAGCTAACATGATTAGAAACGGGAAGAATCCACCAGTCCGTCCCCACACCACTGCTGACATGGAGCCAACCAAGGGTCTCCACTCAGCCCTGCCCCCTGCATTTATTTGCTGGAATCCTACTGCAAGGAATTGGTTTCCTTTTTACATACCTCCTCATGCACTGCTTCCTCTCAATAGGGACCGTGAGCTTCCTGTTCTAGCTGAGACTCTCTCCTGCCTGGTGCGCTCCACACCTACTTGCGGTACCTCACGACTACACTCGCTGCGTGTGTTCTGATGCTCCCTTCGCCCTCCTCTGGCTGCAGGGGGTCCTGGAGCTGGCTCCTGAGTCCGCTGACGTCCACACTGGTCTTTACTCCCCTCCCTCCTTTCTGGTAAACCACACTGCTCCGCGCTTAGCTGTGCTTTTCCTACCCCAGCAAAGAAGGCCTGGTTGAATTTCACTGGAGAACGGCACTGAGACTCCAAGATGGTGGTACTAGCTATGCTTGCTTGCATAACGAGATTAGCATTGCTTCATCTTGCAGATGACAGAGCCAGAAGGGAGAAAAATACACAGGCGATGGATAACGCACACATCTGTACAGGACAAGAACCGCGAGTTCACGCGGAGCTGTGAACCCAGGCTCCGCCCACAGCACGCAGTTTGACTCTGCTTCTGTCTGCCCCTGGCTTTCCTTCTCTTCTGTGACAGTGAGGGGGAAACACGACCTTCATTACCCATAATTAACATGATTGTTTTCCTGGTCTCAAACTGTCTCTCCACAAGACATTCATCTCACAGAAAAAACAGCAATTTCACGGTACAGAAACATGACAGGCACCACAGTGATGAGCACAAAAAACAGTCCCAGCAGACAGCATGTGCCTCCTGACATGAGCCCTTAAAAAGGATGCAACACCCTTTCCACGGTCTTCTTCTTTTTTTTTTTTTTTTTTTTTTTTTTTTTTTGTCTTTTTTGAGGAAGTGTCTCACTACGCAGTCCAGGCTGGCTTTGAACTCACTTTGTAGCCCAGGATGGCCTTGAACTCCCAGGGATCCTCCTGCCTCAGCCTCCTGAGTGCTGGGATTACAGGCGTGTGCCGCCATGCCCTGCTTTTCCACAGTATTCTTGCCCAAAGTATATAATCTGAATCTAATCATTAGGAAACATCAAACCAACTGAAAATAACCAGGCTGTGCACTTCAAAAATGTCAAGGCAATGAAAAACTAAGAAACACTGAAGAACTGTTCCAAGTCAGAAAAAAATAAAAAATGTGACAGCAAAATACATCCTGGATTGATTTCCTAAACGTCCTAAAATGGCAACTAGGTCTGTCCTCTGCTCTAAAGGACATTAGAGGGACAACTAGCACATTTTGAATAAAGCTTATAGGCTAGATGGTAGTACTACCAATGCTCGTTTTCCTGTTTCAGTAAGTATGATGAGCCAAGGAAATCATCTTTTGAAACACACCAAAGTGTAAAGGGACCTTATAAACTTTTCAGAAAAAAGAAAGAAGAGAAGAGACCCAGGGTGCCAGCCTGAGCATGGCCAGCCTCGGAGACCAGAAAGGGGCGGGGGACAGAATCTGAGCTCCAGGCTTAGGGACGGGCTCAGAGAAGGAAGGAAGCAGCAACAGAAAACTGCGCAAAGGGAGAACCGGCAAAGCAAAAGAACTTCCCGGCAGGAGGGGACAGGGCGCCCTGCTGCACATAGGTGGCAGGAGGCCCCGTACTGCAGGGACGCCGTGTGGGTCCTGAGTAGTGGCAGAAACACAGGCCTCGGGCGGGGCCCTCCATGCTGGCACTGCACCAGCCCCGGGGCAACCACCAGTGAGGTCTGTGCGGCTGCAGAGCAGCGGGTACTTCCAAGGCCCTTGCAGAGCGCTCCACGGGGGGAGGCAGCAGCCGACCAGGGCCGGAGCCCCTGCTGGTGACCGGCGTGCACCGGTAACCGGGCCAGGGCCTCCCAGACGAGAGCTCCGCCCTGGCACTTGTGTGTGTCACCTGCCCACGCAGTCAGTTCCTGGTGCTCGTGGGTGCGTTTCAGCTTGGTGGCTCAGAGGCTAGGTCTGTCTGCCTCGCTCAAGCGCTGCCTTTGTTCTCAAGTGCGGGAGTCAAGTTTCGCCCCTTCTGTAGTAAAGTGCAGTTTCACCCGGCAGGGACACTGGCAAGAAGCAAAACGCTGCTCGCTCGCCCGGGCTGCCTGAAGGCCTTCTTTTCACTTGATTTTGAGAGCTTTTGGAAAAGGGGCTGGGGACCCACGAGCAGCCCCAGTCGCAGCTCTTAGCTCGAAGCAGCTGCACCCCCGAAGTTCCCAGTTTGCTGACAGAGTGACGGGGCACAGCCCACACCATTCTGTGTTGTCCAATACTAAGTAACAAGCTAAGATGATAACGTCACGTTTGACACTCCACAGAGCTCTTTCAAGTGTGTTCTCCTTCTACCACACAGCCCTGTGGGAGACTCAAGACTTAAATTTCCAATCAGAAGCCACTGCACACAGTAACTCTCATGCCAGACTTCTTTACGGCTGTAAAACAGCCTTTGGTAGAGGATTCTAGCACGCACTAGGTTAGGTCCCTACCCAGGAAGTCAGTCCACCCAGAAGGTGCGCGTGGACAGGTAACCACCTACGGAAAAGTACGTCAATCAGCTAACACGCTGGATCACTTGGTGCTCCGCACGCTGACAAACGGAACAGCGCGATTGATTACGCGGCCACAAGCTTTCCCGCACAGCCGCTGCCTTCCTCGAAGCCAAAGACAGAGCTTCCCTTTATCTCAGCGAGGCCATCACCTATCACTGGGGACACGCAGAGGCTTTAATTAAAATGGCAATTAACATGGGGACCTGCGGGAGTTCTTTTCTTAAATTATCATTTATTATGAGCCTGCTTTAGGAATGTTAATGCCAGTGTGTTTGCCTAGTACAGCCCTATCTCAGAGAAAAACGTCCAAATATTGAAAGGCTGGCTTCTTTTGGCTTAAAAAAAAAAAAAAAAAAAACGAAAAGAAAAGAAACTGATAGGTTTTCACAGTCTGTTAGCACACAGACAGATTTGTTCTCAGAAAATGATTCGTTTTCTGGAGACATGTGTGATAAAACTGTCATAGAGACCACAAAGAAATTCCAGGCATTAACTTTTCTCCTTCTCTGAGGAGAAGAATCGGTAGTTTATGTCTCTCTAAACACCCCAGCAGAAATGAGCTCTGCTCTCACAGGGCTCCCTGCGGATTCATCCACACGGCCAGCACCCCAAGGCCGCGAGGGCCGGCGGGTCTGTCCTCCCGTGACGGTGTTGCCGGATTTGTGCTCTCAAATTATTTTGCTAACATAGTTACTACCTGAGTTTTAATTGTCCCTCAGTGTGTTTACAGGTGCCAGGCTCACAGTAACAAATATTCAGCAGGAAACAAGACACCTATAAGACAAACGACGATAGAAGCCCAAAAGCAATGCGTAAGAAGAGACATAAGGATAAATCACCACTGAACGGTCATCACCTGTAATTGATAAATATAAAACTTCATCCTTTCCTCTAATGCCACTGTTTCTAAATGAAGTAGACATGGTAATTCATAGCCAACTGATTATAACCCTGAAATGTTTTAAACTAAAATACTCAGTTCCACCAAAGATTCTGAAAAGAGCACCTAGGAGCTGAGCCAACCCAAATCACTACCTTCAACTTATTGTGTTAAAATCAAATCCTATTTTTCAAAAAGTTAGTAATGATGTAACCATAAAAGGAGAAACACATTTATGTATCGTTACGTTACTAAGGCAACTAAGGCATGAGATGTGGGATCGTACTCAAACAGGCTCTAAGGTGCCTTATCAAGGAAATGATATTTTAATGAAGCCGATCAATTCTGAGGCTTTAAATGGAAACGTAAAATAACACAACCCTGGAAATCTCAGGCTGGCCCCCGCCCCCCAGGAAGCCTGTGTTCTAGGCCAGGGGCTCACCATGCCTCCTGCTCCGCGAGCGACCGCGTGGTCACAGCCTGCGCCTGGAACCCCGCCTCTGTGACATAGGGACCATGTCGAGCCCTAGGTCACCCGAGCCCAGGCTGCAGCGTTCTCACCGTGAAACAGAGCAGCCAGAGCAGCTGCTGAGGAAAGGCCCGCAGCAAGGAGTGTGAGGCGGGCCCCTCCGCCGGTCACAGACGCACCCTAAATGAAAACCCTCATCGATGGCTGGCGTGTGGCTCGGGTGCACGCGCATTCGGTAACCACATCAGTGCCACTGAGAGGGGGGAAGTGTGACACACGCCACCCGTGCCTTTCCTGCGCACCAACCCGCTCTCATCCTCAAGAAAAGCCCTTCCTTACAGGTAAGAGGGAAAACCTCTCCCTTCGGGGGACAGCATGAGGCAGCCACACTGTCACCAGGCGGTCCTCACTGGTGGCCCAAGCTCAAGCCCAGCAAGGGCCCAGGGGACAGGGAGGAAGGACTGCTGGGGGGAGAGGGCTTCACAGCCTGCCTGGGCAGGGTGCTCCAGAGTCCTGACCCAGATGCCAGCCATGCCAGCCACCTGGGCAGACGCCCTTGTCCTCCTGACGAGAGGTCCGGCCAGAGCAACACGACGCGCCTGCCACAGGAGCAGTGAGGTCCAGGGCCAACAGGGCAGCCTGAGGGAAAGAGATCAAATGAGAAGGGGAGCGAGCGAGTGGGAGGGGGAAGGAAAGAAGGGACAAGGAAAAAGAGAACAGAGGGGAAAGGGGAACAACGCTTTGTCAATGGAAGCCATTCAGGAAATAGAGATTCCTGAGAACTATCTGAGAGGTAGAATGATTCCTTCTCTCTGCTACACTGAAAGTGAGACAAACCTTCCTACCCACGGTCAGAGCAAGGACTCTGAAGCCATCAGCAGTGCCACGCACACTCTCCCACGCACAGACACCCATGGCCAGGCCAGTACAACCAAGCCCGCCCCACGGAGGGGCACAAGACCTACAAAATGCTTCGCCCTTTAAATTAAAAAAAAAAACCCTAAGTAAAATCTCCATGATGAAGAAAATGTGGTGTTTACATGCCGTGGAGTGCTACTCTGCCATAAAGAAGGATACACTTGAGTCACGTGTAAGAAACTGTATGCACCTTGAGATCATGATGTTAAGTAAAATAAATCAAGTGCATAAGCTTAAATACACTACATGGTTTCTTACATGAGAAGCCCAAAGCACACACAAAGAGCAACACGAAAGCTAACAGGAAACAGGGAGCTGGGTCTCAGGCAGAGAAGGGAAAGCACGAAGAATGAAGACGCGCTATGAGCACCACCCGCTCCCCACGATGGATGTGGGCACCGTGGACTGCCAGCACGCACTAACAAACACACACTTTTAAAAGCCCCAATGAGACTAGGAACATTTTGCATTCAATACAGCAACTGACATTTTCCCATATACTATATCACCTTCAAGTCATTCCATGTTTTTGAGCGTAATTTTTTATTTCTAACTTTTGTTTAGAGGTCATTTTATATTTACAGGAAGACTGTAAAAATAGTTCAAAGTTTTCAATCCCTGCCCCCAGTGCTCCCTAAACTTTACATTTTACGTAATCATACCCAAGTTATCAAGTTAGGACAACTGAAGTAGAGCACTAGTGACTAAACCAGTAACATTATTTGGATTATACAGGTTATATTATTATGCTCTAATATATTTCCTCTTTCTGGGAATTTTTTAATTGACAAAAATTGTTTATATGTGTATACACAGACACACTCACACACATATGATACAATGTTTTGAACTAGGTACACATTCTGAGTCTGCTAATTGCACTGACTAACATGCACTACCTAACATAGTTATCTTTTTTGCGGTGGGAACATGTAAAATCTACTCTCTTAGAGATGTTCACGTATGCAGCACCTCACTACAAACACTGTGATATCACAGATCTTGGGAACTTGTTCCTCCTGTGACGCCCTGGGAGGAACAGTGCTGTGCATTCCTCCTCTTTGAAGCCGGCATGGTATTCCATTGTGTATATGTGTACCCCATTTTGAATATCCATTCACCCACTGATGGACTCAGGCTGATTCCACATCCTGGCTGTAGTGAACAGTGCTCCCTGAAAGCTGGGAGTGTCCATGTCTCTTTGACATGCTGAAACCAGACATTCTTTTGATGTCTAACCAGCAGCAGGATTGCTGCAACACTGGTGCATCTAGCTTCAATTTTGTAAGAACCCTCCGTAGCATCTTCACTCATTCACATTAGTACTGACACCTAGGGGAGTTCCATTTCCTCCATACGCTCAGCAAGGTTTGCTCCCTGCTGCCTCTCTGAGAGCAGCTATTGTAAGGAGTATGGAGTGGAACCTTACCGTACTTTCATCCTTGTTTCCTGACTATCCACGTTTCCTGATTATCTATGATTTCCTGATTATCTTTCACGTACCCTCTCTCAGTGGTCCACCAGTGATCCGAACGCCTTCTTTTGAATAATATTTGTTCAGATCCTTTCCCCATTTTAAAATCAGGTTATTTTCTTGCTAGTGAATTCTTTGAGTTTCTTAGATCCTTTGGATGGTTTTAAGTAAATGACCAAACTTTTTCCAGATTTATTTCTTTAAATTGTTAAACATGGTGATGGTACCAATTTGCAATCTGAAAATGAACCTTCAGCCCTGAGAGGCCGGCGCCTGACTTCGGCCCAGTCTCCCCGCATCACAAGGGAGCAGTCACAAGGATTCTGCTCAGCTGTTCTCACTCCCGCTCCAGCTCTGAATCATGTACAGCTCAGAGCGATCTCACCATCATCCAACTCTCCAGAGCGTGCCCACGATCAGAGGGCTCCGTAAGAGGAAGCCTGTGGACCTATTCCACAGAGCCAGCATGCCCCAGCCCGTGGCCCCTGACCCAGGAACTTAAAACATAATTTTTCAAAACTCTCTAATGCCAGCCTTGTAACCAAACTTACAAAGCAACAATTGATGACTGCATCACAAATACAATTTGCCTTGTTTTCCACTTGAACAAAACTTTCAGTCCAATGGCTTGAGAACAGGTTGCCTAAACAGTTCACTAATCACTGTCTTTAAGATTCTTGATCCTACATTTTTAAGATTTTCAGAAAGAAAAAAAATCCAAAGTGAGCCTCACCACTCCCCAGATACTCCATCTTGGGTTCTTGCTGTTGCCTAGGAGTTTTCCAGGCCCTCTACAGGGCAGGCAGAGACTTTACCTTAGGGGAGCGGTGGGGCATGGCCCCTTCCCCTCCTCTGTCTGCTTCCTGGCCATGAGGCTTGCAGCCTGCTGGCCATGAAGGTGCTGTGTGCTTTGCTGACCCTGCAGGCCTACAGGCAATGGACCAACCGTGGAGCAGAACCTCCAGAATCTGGGACACTGGTTCCTGAGGTTGGTATCACAGGGATTTGATCAGAGGGACACAGAACTGGCTAACATGTCCACTGGACACAGAACCCCGTGCACCACCGTTTCTCACAGACTTGTGCCCAAAATGAAAAGGTAAAATGCAAAATCACCCAAATGGTGTGGTCTGAGCAGGGGAAAGGACGCCACCGCCCATGGGACAGACTCAGATCGGGCCATCAGCTCATCTCCTTCCCACCCGGACACAGTGACTTCTGACGTGACCCTGGGTGCCCTGTGAGTCGAGCAGTCTGGGCACACGGCACTGCACTGTGAGGCCGGAAGAGGAGGTAGCAGGACCTTCAGGGGCCAGGACAGCGTCTGGTGCGCCGCCTTTCTGTAGAAGGCGAGGCAGTTATGGATACGTGCGTGTATGGATATCATACTTTTACATGTATGCATATGGTCACGTGTTTCTTTAGAGTTTTAAAAAAGTTAAACAAAATATTTTTTACAGTTGTATTTTTAAGTATGGGTACAAATGGATAAGAATGGATTCTCCAAGTGTTTTGTATCTTAATTTGTTTTGTATCTTAATTTTGGAACTATGTACAAATTATAGGTCATTAAAAAATGAAGAAAACTAAAGCAATCCCTAAAAATAAAACACTGAAACAAATGAACTTAATTGCACCGCAAGTTGAATTTAAAACATCTGATGTTATTAACCACACACTCAGTGGAAAATGTCCTAAGGACAAAGAGTCACAGGGAAGCAGGACCCCGTGCTGGGCGCCTCTTGTCTGTAGAACTGTCACTGGGAACTGTGTTAGAGCCTCCAGGAACAATGGAGCTAAGTTAACTAAGAGAACTCACTGATAAACAGTTTCTCATGAGGCCACAGAGAGGAGACCATCACGGAAAGCCTTTATCGCTCATGGTAACAGTCACCTGAGATGTGAAATAAGAATTGTAAAGTCTCGAGTGGCAAAGAGAGAATCTCTCGCACAGTCCCAAACAGCACACGGCTGTGCAAGTGTTCAGCCAGGGCTGCTCAGGGACTACACAGACACTTGCTTAAAAACCTGTCCCGGGTTACGATTTTTCCGAATAAAGTTCAGCATTTCGAACGACAGCATTACTCATAACGCATTAGGAACACTATTATTGGTCCCTGTTGCCAGAAGCAGGGATGCCCCAGAGCGGAGAAATCAGCAAGCCAGACAACACCACAGCATACCCACAGCTCCTCCCACACCCGTGTACCGTGTTAGGAAAATGCCAGGCCTCGGCTGGAAATCTCAGGATTACATAAAAGTACAGAAGGAGGATATCTCCTTTTTGTTTCCCTCCTCTTACTCCTTAACTATGAATGGAAGGCCTGCTGCGTGGAAGAGGCTTTCTTCTGCAGTAGGAAAGCACTCCGGGATGGAGCCGGAGCCGCTCCCCCAGGACGCACAAAGCCTCCAGATGCCCAGGGACAGAGGTGTGGCCACCCCGCTGGCCACCCTGGAGCTCCCTCCACCTCTCCTAAACCAGGTCTCCTGCCCAACCCCAGACTGAAGCCGATGGAGTAATTCCAGCCTCTCTTAGGAAAAGTCCATGTCTAAGCTGACCAGAACCCCAGGTGATGGCCCACACCACTGTCCTTTGAGAGGGCAAATCCGAGGCGCTGGGAACCGGCGGGATGGGCAGCCCACAAGGCAAGCCTCGATCATAATGAAGTACACTGTGCAACTTGGGCTCTGCGCGGATTGCCACGTGATCAGCACATCTGATTCCACGACTGCCCTCGTGACCTCGGAGGCGACTCTGTGACCCCATCTCTGCCGCCCCCTCCACACAGAGCTAGCCAAGTGAGCACAAGCAAAGAGCGTGCTCAAAACAAAAAAATATTTTTGTATTTTACTAATGTTTGTTTTCTTGAGGCAGGGCCTTGCTATATAGCCTAAGATTGCCTTAAACTCACTGTTAAGCCCAAGCTAGACTTAAACTTATAGTGATCC